TATGTCTTTCAATGAAGATTTATGGTGTATATTCATTAGAAAAGTGGTCACTACCAAATCAGCTGCTAATATGAATATACATATGTGATTCATTTCCGTTGTACCTGTAAATGACATGTGGTTTTATTTTTCTCAAGCAAAATTTCTTTTGCGCAAGATTATTGCCCCACTGTGTTGTTTTCTGGAGCATTTTGTTAATAAACTTCATTTGCGATTTAAGAAGGTATGCCCTATTAAACGAATATCATCCTTACACCACATAGCTTTGTATGTCTCAACTTGTCATAGTTTGCTTATTTCTTGCTATGAATATTGCAATTGATTCAATTTTCTGGAATATTCATAAACTGCTATTTGTAAGATGGGCATTAAAATTCATGTGAACAAACGTCATGCTCATGCTAAACGTGTGTGTGGTTTCGAATTACGGAAAGTTGAGCTTCATCGTATAGAATTACGAGCCTACTTTAGTGAGGAAGTTTTTGGGTAAAAGATGACTTAGATATTACACGATTCCAATCAGCAGGTTTTACACATTGATGTGGTAAGTGTAATTTTAATTTTTAAATATCAACCTCTCTCTAATGGAATCGTGGTTGACAGATATAAGGTTATGAAAACTACCTACGAAAACTTGATTCCCAGCCTTCGTGTTTTCTATGCAAATTTCTGTGGCCAGTTCACTAAATGCCATATCACACGTCATTCATTGCTGATATAAATTGTTAAACCTATATTAGGAAAATTAAAGTCTGAAAATCAAATTCTTGATATACTGATATATGATTTGCGGGAAATAGCGACTTCAAAGTACTTGAAGTTTTTGCGACGGTATTGAAAGAAAACGCATTTCTCATTACCTAAATAGCTTTTAACAATTGCCATATTACCCACTCAAGATAGCTGTTTTGATACGCTCTATATAAAACTTCATCACTCGTTTCGAGTTTTCAACCATACAACAGGCAGGTCCTATAAGTTTCTTCCTGCGTGACATTTTGAAAACGACTGATCTTCAAAGATGGCCGCTTTTACAGCTTCCTGTACCCACAGTACTCGTGAACGTGGCAAATATTTTTGACAATATACGATAATATAAAACAAATTTCACTTTTAGTATACTTTTCAAAAAAACTACAGCAAGACTTCAATTTCATGTACTGTTTTACTATCAAGTACTATTGATATTCAGATTCGACATATTTTCGGATACATTTTAAGATGTCATATTTCATACATATATACATGGTATAGACTTGGGTATTATATGGATCAACATTTGTTATAGTTCAGTTCCGATTCACGCAAAACTTTTCAACTGATTATTTTTTTAGTTCAATAATTGAACAGACCCCCAAGTTGACGATTCCATAAACATGTTCACAGCGAAGAGCAAATGCAATTTCCAAATATAGTTTCTATGTGACAATTGACTAAATCTCTAATCTCTGTACGTCCGTTTTATATTTGTTCATGAACCGGATATTATATTTGTTTTAACCCTGCTAAAACGCTTAAAGATGAAAATCTTTGATATACATCTGTCTATTTGAGGAGAGATTAATAAACGGCGTTTGAATTATTGTTCATATCTTTCCTGAAATATTAAACGATATCGTTAGCGGACTGTGTTATATTTCAATATATTTATGATAGATTTTGTACCTTTGGGATGTAGCTTTAGCAGTATTATAAAACTAAATAATTCAAATGTTAAAATCTGCAGAAATTCTTAAGAATTGATAATTGGTTGTTGTAGGTTCACGCCTGTCTAACCATGGAGATTTAACGTTTGTGGGCCATGTATTTGAGACTTGGACAATAGACTCATTGGAAATGTTTAATAACTATATTTCAAAAATGATCATACATGAAATTTCAAATATTTTGGCCAAATTGAAACAATTATTCGAGTTTGGACCGAAGAAGCAATATAATTAAGCAGTTTGCAAGAAAACGTTTCAGTTTATGTGCTTTGTTTGACTAAATCTAAAATTAAAATATCGTTGAAAATACCCCAAATAATTTTGGTATATATACAGTTGTATAGAATTATACTCAAAATGACTATTCCTGTTTCGAACACAAATATTGACCGTGGGGGTTCTGAGTGACCTTTTTGTTGGTTTACCGCGCATTTTCTACTTGACTGCGTTTTGACCCTGCGTATCAACCAATTATCTATGCTCAAATCATTGCCAATCTATGGATCATCTTTATGACTCAAATTACTAACCCATTGGGTCATGTTAAATCGTTTGGATATGCTGCATATGCACCAGAACTCAATTACTGCAATGGTGATCACTTAATCGATCGACCTTAGTGGTATCTATATTGTACAGTTGAGTGAAGTAAAGAAAACGATACGGACATTTATGGATATATGTGCTTGAAATACACATTGAAGCTTTTAAGGGCTGTCGTGGTGATTAGAAGTTATTCCTAAACTATTGACTTTAAAAAATAAGGGGAAGTGCTTTGAACTCAATACATATACATGTTTATTCATTTCAAATAATGTAATGTATGTTCTATATACGCGAATCACGAAAGAGTTTTTTTTTATCTATTATCAAGTACCTAATCGACTAGGCTTCGGGTTCAGTAATTTAAGTCAAATACTTTTTCTGTTAGTTGGACTAATTTATTGGCGATTTATTGAACTGTAAGATCATGTTATTTCCAACAGGTGCTTCGGCTTATCAAGGCTTTGAATTGACACGACTGGCATTCAGCTTGAGAATACAATGCTTTGTAGCATAAATAGGTCGAGGTGGGATTAACTTCACGGTTTATATTCGAAAAAAGCACTATATTGTCGTAGATACTACATTGTAAATTGATATCCATGTATTTACTTGTTTGCAGCAAAGTAAATTACGTTGAAGGTAAATACGCTATATATATTCTTAGAGCATATAAGATTGAATAATTTATAAAAATGATAGAAAATGCTGAAGCGTAACATTCAATGTTTTGAAAAGAATGCAGCAAGGGCAAAGTACTGTGTTTTCATTTTGACTCAACGCTTCACGCTATATCATAACGAAGGTCAAAGTTGACTCGGTAGTGAATACTCTGGCACGTTTTGTTGCAAAACAACAGGGTCGACTCGAGTTAAATAAGGTGTCGCATTTCGTGTTATCTTTAATTAACGAGCTGTTGCTTCTAACCAAATTAGAGCGTGAACACGAGCTGTTCCCAGTCTGTGGCCTGACTTGGTGAAGCTCCTTTTACAGTCACTCGCTCGTTTGTATAGTTTTAACGTTAAAGGCTAGCTTTGAAGAAATGTTATCACATGTAGTACACGGTAACATGTTAGGGTTAACACTACAAGTTTCTTCTTGCCATAGGAGTGTCATTATTTTGTTACTTGCAATCGAAGTTCGATGCCTTTTACTATGGCCTACCCTATTTACCTCGCCATGACAACACTGTGAGACTCTGGTCTGGCACTTTACTTTCTATGGTTACGTAGACTGTGGTGCATGAAGTCGACATTCTTTTGTTGAAACGGCAATTGCTTGGTATGGACCACCACGTCGACTTGACGTACCTATTTTTTTTTTATCATTCATTAAATACCATATTTAGTTCGATTTCATTCTATTTATCATGTTTCTGTTAGACTTCTCCAGGGGGGCCACCGCCCGAAAAACTAGTATTGGGTTTCGGCGTCATCTTTCACCTTGAATGCATGTCTTGTGAATAATATTGACTATATGAATCACTCTGTTGTTTAATATATCTTTGAAATTTGTTTTTTACATATATTATAGTATGAATTTATTATTAACCATGCTAACTTTCAAATATGAATAGTCAAATTTTTTAAATGCTCCAAATATCGTCTATATACAAAATTAAAGACGTTGACCGCACATATATGTGTATGCTCTTACTCTGTATTTTATAACTAACTATTTAGTACAATGCATTTTTTAACTACTGTTGAAGCTTGAAGAATTTGCAGTAATTGACAATCAGTCAATCTGGTTTGTTGTTAGAATTGGAAGTTTTTGTTATCACTCTCGTTATGCTGGTATCAATCGATCACGTATATATGGCAGATGCCCTTTTTCTGCATAGTTCGTAGATGTTTTTAATGAAAATATTGCTTGTGAAGCCAATTCACTTTCACTGAATAATTCAGTCTGTGTTTATATAAAGTGTAATGGCTAATCGAGTAGAGCCTATCCGGCTTCTATATACCACACTTTAGTATAGAGTAAAGTATTTTTTATGTAGTGTTTTAATACTAGCTTTAGTAACGTTTGTATTAATCAATGTGCAAGTAAAAACTGTGGATATGGAAAGATTATTCATGAGTTTGTGACGTATTTTATCAAGAAGTTGTATTTTTCACTTAGAGTTTGTAATATTTACGTCAAGTCAAGACGCGAGAGTCAAGTTGGAAAGCATTAAGAATGACTTTTCAGCAGTAGCTTAGTTTTTTGGAGCTAACCTCTACCTAGATTGAGCATTTATGAACTTCCTCTCTTTGAAATTCGTTTTCATAAAAGTGTTTCCCAAGTAGTGTTGACTTGAGTTGTTAATTACAATCATAGTGCCAAGTTCTATGTACCAATATATCTGTCATTAGTATGAACTTATATTTAGTTTTACCACTCCGGTGTAGTTTTGGTATTGGTAGCTTTGCAACTTCAGTTGATTGGTTGAGCCATAGGAGCTAAGTTGCAGAAGTATTATATTTAGTACAACTTTGCACCCTAGTTTACCACTAGTGAAGCTAAATTAATCTTTATTGATCTTTTTAGAGGCGGGTCACCATCAGAGTTTTGTGTTCTGAAAATATAATTTTGCGTTATGAATTTTATCATTACAAAGCATATATGTGTATATCAACGAATCTTCAGGAATTGGTATTATTAGTAGTGGTCCAAGTTAATGAAATAATATTATCTTTAATACAATTATATATAGACAGAAGGTTATGCTTATTGTTTTTATAATTTCATTCCATATTTCCTTTACAGTTCCTAAAGAGTTTTTAACCTCGGAATTACCTTCTTCTGTTCGCTTACTGACCACGACATCTCCTGCCTTGGACACTACACAAGATTGGTCAACTGAGCACTCTACTGTCGTACATTCCACTGTGACTACATCTATAAACAGCAAAGGTATGTTTCATACACTTGAGTTTTATTTGAAGATTATATATATTATAATTTGATTTATTAATATTAATAATAATAATTTGCGGTTCAAACTGTTTTCCATTAAACCATATTGGGGACTAGTGCACAAAACAGACAATTGCCGCACTCAGTTGCTCCTGACAAGATCTTTAAAAACATATGTGAATAATAGTCTTGCTTGCTCTTGGGTATACATGCACTAAATCATAATAAGGCAATTATAATATAATAATTATCATAGTTTTCAGTTGTCCTATTTTAATAATATTAATTTAATTTATCTTCGTGCATTTTTAAATTGTGAAATGGATTATCGCATGTTTAGAATTTTACATCAAATTCATTTATTTGTATATCTGTATATAAGTGACCAATGAACAATCATCATATAAATAAATAATTAGTTTGAAGATCATTTGATTAGGAGTTTCGTTTTTTATTAATTCCAATATGAAAATGGTGTCTTAAATTCCCAATGATATACATCGTTGTCAGTCCTCAAGTTCTTGAATTTGGAAATCTTTGACGATTCAAAGTTTGTTATGTGATATTGAAGTATTGTTGGGGACAATGTTTTTATTGAATAAACAAGTCAATAAATGACCAACAGTCGTTTTAACTCATAATTTTCAATGATATCCATAAATAATATGAGTTTTTTTTCATGGACATTCAGAAATGTGTTCTGGGGCTAAATTGATTTAATTTTGTTGTGTGTGTCACTAAGTTTATTAATGAGTGCCTTTTCCACTATTATTGTCTATGGGAAGCCGACATGAGCTATTCTTTTATTGGCCTTTCGTAAACGGATGTTGATCTAATATATTATTAGTAGAAGTAATGGTCTTCCGTATTTCTAAGTTTAAATTGCTTGTGGTCTTTCATTATAAAGTACACAGTTTTTATTACGCAGGTGAATCAACATCGTTCTCTCCGACATCTACCTCATTTATAATTGAAGATACCAGTGCAGTAAATTTATCAAATACAACAGGCGACATTTCAGGTGTGTATGTTTGTTTTCTGGCGTTAAGTTGGACCCAAAGTCATATTCCAATTTCTATTGTCATTCTCCAAGATGAAAATATTACGCAAGGATTGCCACGTCATTCAATACCAAATATTGTCACATTAATTAGGTTTCCTTCAGTAAAAGCCTCCCACATAATATCCGTTTCTCAGTCGATATTTAATCGACTTGATACTCAACATCATATGGGCCATTCCTAATAAGAACAGTTCATCTTGTTTATTTTAAGTCGCCTATTTGTACCCAATATAATTTTTATTCTGGTTTAGTGTTGTTCATACCATACAAATGTTTGAACGCTTCATTTGATTTTCAAATATTCGAGTTTTAAGGTAGGGTAAACGTAAGAACACTTCGACTTTGGATTTAATGACACCGTTATCTTGTTTATTAATTAACGTTTGAGTCACAATTGGGTATATGGTATTTTACATAATATGCGTGAGCCAGTTTGAAATTTCAAAAATCTAGAACTTTGGCTGTTAATGACATTCTTTCTTGGAATACATTAACAATATTTTAATGCCGGAAACATTCCATTATCGTTATTTGTGTATTTACTGTAAAACGGATTAGTCTGGCTGGTTTCCAATAATCAATGCGCTTAGTGTTTTCATTGTTCGGTGTACGGATACATTTCAATTAGGGGAATATTATTTATTTATTACCAAGGCTGTGTATCGTGTAGTTTAAAAAGTTACTTTTACGTAAATGATGAATACTGTAAGGCAACTTCCAGGTAGGTTGTCTACGTCTTGATTATGTTGTTATGAAACAACATTGCTTTGCGTGTGTGGTCGCTGTACTGTCATACCTCAGAAAGAAAATAATGATTGTTTTGAAATTGTTTTTACAAAATTGTTTTGAAATATTTTTGTTGAATCAAAAACGTCGCTGAGAGTACGGTTAGTTACAGGTTGCAGAGATATAATAAATCGCTTGTGAAACTTCATAAACTATCGTTTCCTTATAGAATAAAGACCCAGATAAGCATTGACTTTAATACTGACCACCGTTTCAGCTCTACGTAACATTGAAGTTACATTATCTTTGTTATTTGAACGATGAAATATTATAATCAATCGGATATAAGTTCCATTATACGGTTGAATAGGCTTTTTGCTGATTTACAAGTCAAATATTCAAAGTATATTTTAACACAGTAATATGCATGCTTGCCTTTTTTTTGATTTTACAGCAGGTCGAACAAGATCGCCTCCAGGGAATTTCACCACCACGAGCTACATTTTGCCAAATAATACCTCTGACTTCACGGGGAAAATAAATAATGAAGATGACGTAATTATTAACAACGACTTTCCCATTATTAAGGATCAGAATATGGATACTAGCAATAACTTTTCACCATGTGTCAATTGTACCTCGGTCAACGTAGCAGGATCGGGAAATATCTATGACTCGATGATGGGATTATATTTGTTTCTCAAGGGTAATTCAAAATTTTTTTCATTTATGATATAGGTTTAATTTTACAATTTTATGTTATAAGTTAATTAAGGAGCATATGAACACCCGCCTTCCCCAGTCTCTTTTATATGAATATCCGCATTGGGAGATCTTCATATGATTCTTGGATTTTGTAAAAACTCCTTCACTCCCTTACCATTCCATTCAGGCATAGCCATATGAAGATACATCCGCCTCTCCAGGCTGGATATTATGTAGATACTCGCCCCTAGTAGGTTTGGGATCTTTATATGAACCTAAGTTAATACCACTTGATAGATTGATAAGCGAGTGTAAATTGAAATTGAAATAATTGAATACAGCGCTTTGCAAAAACAGAAATTAGGAAATTGAAAAAAAATACGGCTTCACAGATCAGGTGGATATTGCAAAAATGTTTTTTTATGCTATCTGCAATTCACAATTATATGTTTCCAAAATACTGATATTTAATTTTTAAAATACATTCTATTTCATTCAGAAAACAGCGACGACATTGTTATCGCAATTCTTCTGGCAGTAGTCCTCGCTCTCCTTCTAACTATTTGCGTTCTGGTTCTACCTTGCAAGTTCAAACACGCAAAGAAGAAAGAGAATAAAGCTGAAGAACCTACAGAAAATAGCAGACTAAACGTTCAAGAGGAATATTCGCCACCTGCTGTTCCAGTTGAAGAGGTAATAAATACAACATAGAACAGCAATATGCGCTTAGTAGAATTTTCTACAAGTCTAGTGGGGGATTAGATTCTATTTGGATTATTAAATGAAAACATTTCCACATTATTTTATCACTCCTTATTCTATTATGCGCAATAAACAGATATTCGACCGTGCTAACAGCTTAGGTAAATTAGGAAATATTTTTGATGAATAATTGCTTATTTCCAGCGCCATCTAGTGGGCGTGACTCAAAATATTTCCCGACCTTATCCCGTGGACTTATTTTTGCAATATATTATAGTGAAATCAGCGGAATACTATATATTTCAAATTGAACATACAATGCAAAATACAATCAGAATGAAATAGAACCAGACAATGACTACCGATCAACAGTTGGCTATCAAGTTGTTTAGCAAAATTAATCATCAGCATGTTATCATTTTTTCAGGATGAACACGAGAATATGAGTCTTATGGGTTCAATTCTTCAACGATCTGTTTCTTCTACGAATACACTTCAGCGTCAACAGATCACTTCCACTACACCGCAGAAGAAAAAGAAAAAACAAACCGTCCAAGATGAAAGTAAAAGCAGCTGTGGTCCTCAATCAATTTTTGCCAAAATTTGTTGCAATTGTTGTTGTAACAATGCACCATGGCAACGAACTCGCATATTGAAACGTCATCGTGGAGATGTATACCGTGTCACCCATCGGTATTCGTCGTCCTTGGAAGACGAAGAACTTGCCGGTCGTTTTCAATCGAGGGAAACTTTTCCGGTATTTAGTAGGACTGATGACAATGTTGATAATCAGTCACCAATCCCAGCGTTAGAAGATCATGCCAATCGTTCAGAAAATACAGTTGCTTCGTCAGCACCTCCAACAACACAAGAAAATATAAATTTTAGACCGATTTCTAGATCGACACAAAGACATTATAGTGCAACTCCAGAACCCGATTATACAAGAAGGACTAATCAAACGTTTAGGCCAGGAGTACGGCATGAAAGCCAGCGCAGCGATCCCGCGCTCAACATATACAGTGTTCATAATCAGTATAATACTACACAACCCATGACAGCACCAACCTCGCCAATAATAAGCCATCAAGCAAAAATTCCAAATAATTACTTGAACGGTACTCATAATCACTTCAACAATCACGCGCAAGTGGCATCGACACCAAAGTCTCCTCAAATGGGTATATCATTGACTCACAACTCCCAATTGCACATTGCAGGAGCACATGTTGCACCACCCCAGTCCCCTCGGACTCCAAAGTACACTCCGCCACCAACTCATTTTTATAGTACTCAGCAATATACTCCTAGTTTTACGGAGGCATTTGAACAATATGACAACGCGCAACAACGTGATATGGCCGTCCGAAAGAAACAATTCCATCGGCCCCAATACAGCACCCAGTACAGTCATGAGTATAATCCAAATAATGGTAATTACTCCGGTTACTACACTCAAAACAATTATGGTGATCAATTTGTTCAAGCTGTACAGAGAAGAACAATTCCGTCCAATGCCCGGACGGTTGACCTTGCCGCCAACGCACGCACTGTGGACTTATCTCATGATAATTCCTTATCTCGAAATTCTTGGTTAGAAATTCGCCGTAGTTCAATTTATGATAATTCTTTGCCAAGAAACAGTGAAATGTACGAATATTATAATCAACTTCAACAGCAAGAAATGCATCATAATCTTGTACAACATCACGATTTGCCTGGTTCTAGAAATTTGAATCATTACTATTAAAGCTAAAAACAGCTAGCTATCAGAAAATTATGCACTTTTTTACAAAAATATGGAAATATTCATAAAATAGCTAACTGCTTACATTTGAATTTCAATTTTTTTAAATGTTGTATTTTATGACAAAATTTGGTCTTATTACCACCCCTTCAATAACATCCTGCCACAATAGTGACCAACACATATGACGTAACAAAGTCGATTTGCGAAATGTTTTGCGATTTACGAGATTTTCTTATTTAACTAATTGTAAATAGATTTCGTCTAAAGTTATCCAAATAGGCAATAAAAGATACATGTGTTATTTCGGATTGGAAAATTTAGATATCAGTTTAAAAAGTAAAACGCAAAAATATGAAATGTAGCTCTAAATCGTGTTCATATCTGTACTTTTCTAATTTACATTTTGTTCCTTCTTAATTTTATGATTCATTTGTTGCGTTGAATCATTGTGCACAAAGCAGTGTTTTCATACTTATTTTTTTTTACTATTCTCTGGTGTTTGCACGGTGCATACAAGATTAATTTAAGAAATAAATCATCGTGATTCATACTTGTATTTTATAGGTAAAATTGGACACCTCTCCTTAATTGGTACACATGTCTGTAAAAATTTAATTTATTTCGGAACTGGTCATGTTTCAAAATAGACAAGAGTTTTATTCCGTACCGAATTCCATGACTTTTCAAGTTATATATTGGGTTATCATACATTTGTGGCAGTAAAACGTTTTTGAAATACCCAGTAATGTGTACAACACGACGACCAAATCCAATACAGAAGTTTTGCAATGAATGATACTAATACTAATATGTTTAGAGGAGCAATAATTTATCTTCTTCTGTTCATTTACAAGGTGACGTGATAATTCATTTTCTATCCCGTTTTTGTGCAAGTGATTTAAATCACAAAAATTAGCTAATTGTTTCCAAATCACGAACAAGAACCAAATTATATGTAACATCAATTGGTAATTATTTTGAGTTCGTATTTAAAACGACCATTTCAAAATTTTAGCATCGACGAGAGATTTACTATACGCATTTTATCTGTCCCCATTTAATAAAGTGATCAATGGCACTAACATTTCATATTTTTTCCCCCACATTTTGCGAAATATTTATTATTATTAATACTTTTAATTTTTGCTGCTTTATCAGTAACATTCACCTGAAATCTCAATATTTGAAGAAGCGTTGTGCAATTTTTTTATGTATCGCAGGTGTATTTTCATGTTTTTTAATAAAATCTCCACACAATACCAGACTACGTTATGAAGAAAGCGCAGTATTACATTGTTAAACAGCTTGAAAATAATTTTATGCATTTTGATAGTTTTATGTGTGATTACCATTCCGATAAATTTATTCCTAATATAATGATGATAAGTAATGTGACGTTTTGCCAATTCTACTAGCCACGTATTTATAACAACCAATTAGAAAATGATAATTGAAAGCCGGACGTAAAAAAGTACGCTACGCAGTGTTATATATAACTATTATTTAAAGTAATACAACACGAATATAACTATGAATATGGATATCTAAATTTAGATGATTTTTTATTCCTACCTTAAAATCGTGTCTTTTTCCAAGGGGTCGATTTGAAAAGTAAATAACAAACTTGAAAGCTTTTTAATATTTGGCCAAAACAGGTTTAATCCAGCCACGAATCACCAGCCCAAATATCAATACACCATGAATGGACGAGTCAGTAATTTGTAAAATCAAGATAATCAACCACGCAACTAATAGTGATCAACATCATTAACTCGTTTCGAGCCAATATGTTGCAGATATTTACCAAAATCCGTGCAACTAAAATTGCTCTATTTGAAAGTTGTAGCCACATTAGCTTTGTCCGATTTTATAAATATAAGATTCCCTGCAACCTATAATGTGTTTGAATTCCTTCAAAATCGGCTTTAAAATCGTGTGTGTGTGGTGCTTGGAAATCTATCCAAGTTTACTAAGATGAGTCTATAGTAACTGGGACTTTTTATGAATAAATGAAAAATGAGGCATTTATTATCCAGCGAGTAAACTATATCTAAAGATGATATGGTTTTTTAGGGCCATGCTCTGCAAACATATATATTCTGTACGCTATCTCGCTGAAACCTGTTATTTTTCAGCATATTCAATACCAAGATTTTGATTTCTACTCACCAATTGACACGAATTTAAGAAGTGTTGAATATATACGGGGAGTGTTAGTTGTGAAAAGATATATTAGGTTTTGCAAAAGTAAGTGAATATTAGGAAATCAAAATATATTCGGTTGACTTTAACAAATAAAAATACCTGGTTAACTTAATATCATACATTCCAGAATTTACATTTACAATTATAGAAATAACTAAGCCTATTTTGCAACTAAATATTCTTATGGGCCACCAGATGTTATAAAAATAAAATATTCATCAATTGATCGATCAAATAAATACGCTTAGCTGGGAAGATTACCTCTAAAAGGTAATTTTTATTCATCTATCTGTTTCTGAGTTTAGGGTATAATTCCACTGTTCTTGAAATAATAATACTCGCCCTCACTATTCAAACTAATGGCTATGTAGGACTAGGCTATCGAACGAAATATGCTCCATAAAATTGTTTTTATTTTTTCCAACCAGGTAGAAATAAATCATAGATAATATTTAAAAAAACGTTATAATCAAACAGTTTTTACTGGACTGATAGCCGTGTGAAAGCGTTTTAACAAAAAATTTACTAACATATCACACAGAATATAGGGCGCTCCAGAAGTGTGTGTACCAATATGTAGGTAACTAATTTTGTTCGCCTACTTTTACATCAAGTTGTGCAAAGGGACTTGTCGGCGATAGAAGTTTCTTTTCAGTTGATTATATTTCGAACGCTGTTCTTCCTTGTGTTCCGACCGACAAATTTTTATCGATAATTGCTTTTCTGTTTTGACGCGAGTTTCGCGTGCTTTACTGCATCTGACGTGTCACGCGTGGCTCTTGCATCTAGACTTTACGCGTCGTAGGACGTTCTTGTTTAATCTTGTTATGATGTTAGTGGTGTGGTTTCGCATTATCCGCATTACCGACTTAGCGTGTGGGTGGCATTTGGTCTCGTTAGGTAGAACTGTGGTGAGGGTATCGTGACCGGGGCCCCATATGACCATCGTCGTCATTTATTGCTTTAATTGTTCATGTATTTTATATTTCATTCTTATTAATTGCTTTCTAAATTTAGTTGCTATTTTTATGCCAATAACGTTATCGTTCACGTTTCCTGTCAGTTTCTTGTCGATTTAGGCCTTTGGAGCGTTATCATATGTAAGTTTATTTCCTATTAACTTCTGGTTATGCATTTCTTTCCGCCCTCATCTTGTGGTTGTTTATTGATTATTTCATTTTATTTACAGTCAACCGTTTTACAATAAACGCGTATGACAAGGAACATCTGTGTGCCTAAATCTGACAGGACTGAAACCTATGGATATAAAGTATATTCATTGGTCTAACATAGACAGTACCCGAACTCGTTATAGAACGAAAATAGGGAAAATCAAAATAAAATTATGGCCCAACCCTAACCTGGTACACACTCTGGTACACGGGAGTACCGAAGATAGAATATTCTCATTATGAACAACCAATGATGTATATGTAATTGTATATATTTGTTCATTACTCATTCTATTTATCGATATGAATTCTGTCAACAATAATCATGATAAATTATGTTCCTCACAATCATGAAAAGTAAAATTACTTAATGCTCGCTAACAAAATTGGGAGCTCCCGAAGTATGTGCACCAAAATGGCGCACAACCTGAACTTAGTATGTATACTAGGTTAGCGTTCAGGTACTTAGGGAGCACCCAAAATTGCTAATGTCGTATTTGATGTCCATATTTAATTAAAGATTGAAAACAATATATGTACATAATACAGTTATATAATACATGAAGTAAAACTATATGCATTCGAATCAGAACAGTTTATGTTTGCTTAATCCACTAGTTTAATTTTGGTCATATTTGATTTTCAATTTAAAACTAAAATACTATATGTACAATAGGACAGTCTGAGTAAACGTAATGCATAAAAAGTGAGTTATAGCCAGCTAGACAGTACCTGTCTGCTACTACCCAAACCACTAGCTCGATATTTGGCTCGCAGCTGATGTCTCTTTCTTTCTATTTCTTCTAATGATACATTCTGAAAATATGAGAATTTATCTTAATAAATCGCCACAAGATTTCACGCATATACAAAAGAAAACAAATAGTGCAAAATTGTGATCTCAAATGTCACGGTATCTCTAAAATGCAACTTAGAATAAAAACATTGCTAAAGTTAGTTGTTGTAATTTTTTATTAAACCTCAATATGACTTTCAGTTTGTATAAAGCACAAAGATTTCTTTTCCTTATATTGGGCCAATCTAAATTGGCATATCTAAGGCAGTCTTATATGATAACCTTCCAACCTTTAATCGTATAGTTATTGAACAAAAAGCAAGAAAGAACAATAATGTTCTGCGTTTTACTATAAATCAAAGAGTCTAATTCAACAAAATTTCAACATAAAAAACAATGTAATGAAAACTCGTATCCTAAAATTTTTAAATAATTCGTAGTTATCATTATTATGACTACACCTTAGTTTCATTTAGCCAGGATATAACTTCAGCGCAATTTCCATACAATCGATTTCGATCTGAAGGCGAAAGCAAAATTCCTATGCTCGCATCACCGTTTAATTCCGTTTTAATTTCGTTCGCAAAGGATAAAAGATGAGCTTTGGCCTCTGTAATCTGTATAGACCAGAATAATATGTATATACTAGAATTTTTAAATGGGCAACCTTCAAAGATATTATAAGTTTGAAATGGGAAAGTTAATTAATAGTGGGTTGAAAATGGTTCGAATACCTAAAAACACATAACAATTTTGATTGAAATTTGCAACAGCACACCTGCGCATATTTCTGTAACTTTTACGTAACAGTGTGAAGATCATTTTGGCGTGGATACATATTGCACTACTTGAATTTGTCTTATTTGTATATTGCTGAGCATTCAATTCAATTTGATTTCAAATTGCCCCAGTGGTGCAAGTGCATTTGTAAATATACGCAATAACAACCCGAGATGCAGTGACTTGCAAATTGATAATTGATGCATTCGTTGCTAATATCTATGACCAACATTCATTTTTTATCATGATGAGCCTAGTGACTACAGTTTGCTATCTTTTCTATCCAGCATGTTGGCGTTTCAGTGTTCTTTTATCATTTTTTCTCTTCTATATTTAGGTTGGGTATTTTGTGAATTTGATCAAACCTGCTCATTCAAAAAAATTGGGAAAGACTTGAGTGATTCTGATTCGGAAATATTCAATTCCAAGATTTCTGATTTAATGATTAGAATTGTAAAAATAAATATATCCAGAATTGGCAATCTTACTTACGACCGTGATTTTTAGATCAGCAGTTGAATTTAGACATTTTTTTTCAATATTTTTGGGTTGAAAATCTTTATATTTTATTTTTACAAAACACTGTAATGTAGGATTTAAACATACTGATGTCTGTTTTCCGGTTCTATAATTTGGAGAATGAAGGCTTTTTGAAATCGGTCTACTTGTTTCGTCAATGGTTCGAAACTCCCTTTGTGTTTTCATTCGTTGATCTTTCGTTGATCTTTCGTTTCGTTGATCATGTGAATGATATTCTTCCCCGTGTAGTTTGTTTCGCGACTATAATAAATTAGAACAATCAGAATATTAGATAATAATATTATTCGAAGTTTATTTTGCACAATATATACAGTTTAGACTGAAAAAATAGGAAAATCTTTCAAAAAAAAATCATGGATATTATTCGCCCTGTAAAATTTCAAATTAAAAGCTCTTGTTTGTAATGACTATAAAGATTTGAACAAACATTCTTGGATTGACAAATAAAGCATTCCGCACTCTATGTGTAAGCTACAGCTGCAATAAGTTCTTTATGATAGTGTTTCTACAGATATTTCACAAAAAATTTTCAAAATCGAACCCAGGGTCTTTGTAAAATTGCAACTAACCATTCACGAACTAAGAGCTATCTTTACATACATTGAAACTTTTCTGTCGGTAGAAAGTGTTTTCAATATTTCAACACTGTAAAACGGCATGAATGGATTTAATGATAAAAATATTTCAGAACCTATTTAGAATATATTTCAGACATATAAGTTTCTGTATGCTTACAATTCAAATAAGAAAGATATTTTAAACTAATTTTTACATTTCAAGATAGATTGGATATAATACATATTATAAGATTTCGAGATTTAATATATCTGTTATTTACGGTTTTATTATATGATAAAGATACCAGTTTTCGTAATGATTGTATGTTTATTAATATCTAGTTTACTTATAAAATACATCGTTGGAAATGCCTTTTTATATTTCGCTATGAAATTAGATGCATCGGTGGATATTTATGGATCAAGAAATTATATACAACAATTTGTAAATACCGCCTAATTTTCTAATCAAGTTTTTACATTTTATATTTAAGAAATAATTAAAAAAGAGTTACATGCAATAAAAGCTATGATTTGAAACTGTACCTGTGTGTTAGCTCCATATTTTACGCTATTTCCGGTAACATCTAGGGTCGACAAATAATATTCTTGTTTTTGAATGTAGCTTTTTCGTTCTGACGACTCCTAACCGAAAGAATACATGTAGCATATCACACTTTTATTCTATACTCGAAAAGCTTCAAAAACACAACACGTGTACAGACAAAGTCAATCAATTGTACCCATAAATTTCAGCTATCACTCTGAGATATAATTATACCGGCAATCGCCTGGGATTTTATATCACTGGAATGCAGTTGTCAAATTTTAATGTCATTTCAAGGTAAATTTTCTTCTAGTCCTGGATAATTTGTGTTGCTAACGTACTTTGAAGTGCTTGCCCCTGAAAATCTTTGCCGGTTATCAGTTTCTGATTTGATAGGATCTTTCATGACTAGTTTAGGTATTATTTTCTAAAGGCATATAATAAAAAATCGTTACTAATTTAAAAAGTACGTTTATGGATCAATGAATGTAATATTGATAAATCAAATTACAGAATACTCTTGGTTTTATATAATCTACTCTCAAGATATAGTATGATCTATCATATAAAAAGTGTTTATTTGAAATTAAGACTGCTTTGCCTTTGGAGCATGTTTAAAACAACTATACTTAAGTTAATTTTTAGTACTTATGATTTCCTAAAATTGGTTTGTTTATATACAAATTTCGTTCTTCGTAACCGTCTTGTTTTTAAATGTTTTGATATAATTCCACATCATGCATTTTACCTCTAAGGTCGCGATGGGGTGTCTTTGTGATTTACCTTCACTGTTCTGAATAAGATGTGTACGAGACTGTGTACAATTAGTTCGAGACTATTAGTTCGAAAGTTTTGATAGACTTTAATTAAGCTATCGCTATACCATGAATACTGGCAGTCGAACTTTTGATATAGTTAAGAAAGCTTACCAGGTCTTTTTCAGCTTCCTCGAAAAAAGACCAAAATTAATATACGAGTCCTGGATAAAGTATTTTGTTTTCAAATCGAATTCCGAATCGGTATGTTCTGATTTAAATATTTCCGAATCTGATTATATTTAGTATAACATCACATTATAATTGAATCGATGCATCAACTTCTTGATATAATTGAAGAATATTTAATATTGCTACACACTGTAAAAAGTAGTGAAGGAAAACCGTATATTTATATTTATCATTGTAGGCTTACAAATTGTACAACAAAATTGGCTTACAAAATTCAAATCAGAAAGAAGTTGTAAACTACTCTTTAAATCTCACGATCTTTTGGATAGTGCATATTAAAAAATTTGATATTTGATATAACTGTTATTTTCAGTTTGTTTTAAATCATGGTAAATACACTATTTTTTTTGCAATGACTATTTGTTTATTATTACTTATAGTAACGGTTTACTTAAAATAGAGCATCATTAGAAATGCCATTTTGTGAATAAAGTGTAATTGTCGAATTAAGTTTTCATAATTTACGTATAAAAGACTTCTCATTGCAATTAGATCACTTTGAAACTCTACAAGCGTGTTAGCTTCATGCCCATATTCGTCTGCGTCTGGTAAGTGCCTTGCGCTAGCAAAGCTTAAGGGATGCCGATTGGGAAGGATTCAATTTGAGAGTTTCTGATTTCAAGATTCAATTTTTAAAAAAAATATGTATCCAGAAGTGGCAACCCTTAACTACGACTATAACTTTTTAGATCAGCACTTAAAGTTATACATTTTTTAAAATATTTCCGTGAGTGAAAATTACAGTTATATTTTTACAAAGCACTATAATGCGGCAGTGGATAATAATGTGGATTGTGGATATTTATGAATTAAGGTCTTATACACAACAAATTGTAAATAACGCGTAATTTTCAAATTCAGTTTTCATACTTACTCTATTTACGGCCACCTCTCGACGCGATGAATCATATTCTCGTTTTTCTCTGTGGCTTGTTCGGTCAGACGACACCTTATCAAAAATATACAACATACTATCACTTTTTCTTATATATGATAAGAACACAACAGTTGTACTACAGACAAATTCAATAAATTGCACCTACAAAACTTAGAAACTGAGCTATTAAGTATTGTCACGGATTACTACATTATTTTGTAGGGTCCCAACGACCCTTGTGGGCGTTTGCGATTACTGTGGGGGTGCTGACTGCGTATTGGACAGTAGGGGCGCGCTGGATTGGTCGATTGGGTGCGCAAGCAACAAATCGGATTGTTACAAGAAAATTAACAATATTTGACATATTAATTTATAAAAGTTTCTTATTTTGAGCTAGTTTAATTTTCCGTGTTTTTAATTTCTAAACGTAAAATATCCCATTGTCTTACATTGGCGCGACGTGTGTTACTGCTTGATAACCAGCATCTTTTTTTTTGCGATTCCTGAAAATTATTTTTACGTTTTCTTCTATTTAATGTTTCTATGAAGTGAAATTGTTTTGGTCAAAAACTAGTTTTTGATACTTTTGTTGAATTCCTGCCAACTATCGACGCGAGTATCAAGAAAGATGTTCAAAATGTTGTGGACGTATTAACAAAAATGTATCACTTATAACTCTCCTAAAAAATCTTACTTGAAAGTCATATTCTATAAATTCCAGATGTATCCAGAAGTGTCAACCCTAACTACGTCTACTGTTTTTAGATCAGCACATAAATTGAAACACTTTTTTAATATTTTCGTGGATGAAATTATTGTTAGTTATACTTTAACAAAGCACTAAAATGCGGATTTTAAACATACTGATGTCTCATTCCTTTCCTATTATAATTTGAGAAAAGAAGCCTCCCTAGATCCTGTCGACTTACAAAGCAATCAGAAAGAAGTTGTAAGCTATTTTCACATATCAATATCAGTTGGATAGTACATATTATGAGATTTTGATATTCATCATAATTCTTATTTTGGTATTCAAAATACTATGATAGATATCTAAATTTTGTTTTCGCAATGACTATATTTATGATTCCCCCGTAAATGTTCACCATCATTGGAAATGCCTTTTTATAAATCGCTATGAAATTAAATGCGTCGGTGAATATTCATGGATATTCAAGGTCTTATATAAAACAATTTCTGAAGATCGCGAATTTTCAAATCAAGTTTTTATCATTTATATTTGAGAATTATTTAATGAAAGATTTACATGCAATAGGAACTATACTTTGATACTCTACCTGCGAGTTAGCTCCATATCTTACAATATTTGCGGTCACGTCTAGGGACGATGAATCATATTCTCGTTTTTTTCTGTTGATTGTTCGTTCTGACGTCACCTAATCAACAGAATACAGCATATCAACACTTTTTTCTATGCTATATTTCAAAAGGTTCAAGTACACAACAGTTATACAGACAAACATGTGCATTTGCAGAATATTAAAAGTAATTCTTTCCCGGTAATATCTACCAACGCTACAATTTTTTTTGATAGTTTCACTAACCCTTCGATTCTAAATACATAGAAAAACAATTCATCAATAATTTAGTAAGTATGGTTTGAATATTTTATTGACAAACCAAGTTCCAGAATACCCTTGTTTTTATATCTACTACTCTCAATATATATTCCAGAATATATCTATCAAAAAACTTTCATTTAAAATTAAGAATGTTTAATTAGAGCTTGATTTCACACATATATATATTATTACTTCTTATGATTTCTAAAATTTGTTTGTATGTATGCAACCTTTGTTCCTAATAACTGCAGCCTACTATCAAATATTAAAATCAATATTCAGCCTCTTTTTGTAAAGTTTATATAAATTTTGTATCATGCATTTTACCTTTTTATTCTCGCAAGGATGTCTTTGTCTTTTACTCTCACTGTTCTGAATAAAAAGACCGAAGATAAATGATGATAGTAAACGCGAATATTGTTGTTTATAGTTAATGGACTTTTTATTTCAGCTTATGCTGAAATATCATCACTCACGCGAGTGGCAAACATCCAAATAAAAGAAATTATTCTGGTTTTGCCTTTCTCAATATTCTCAATACCGTGAAAACAATTGAAATTATGGAATGGGGATCTTGTGATTTCAATTTATATTTTACCAGTGATTTTTAAAAAAATTCAAATTTATTCAATAGATTTTCCTATTGACTAGAATAGAAAGAAATTATTTATCCATACACATGTGCAACATAAATCTTTTTCTCAAATGCACACAATATTTCTTATTGTGTAATTTTTTTTTATTTTGAACACGATAGGCAATTTTACACTGAATAGAATATTTGGAAATATTAAACTTAAAAAAAATTTCTATCGTACCATATTTTGTCGTTTTTCCAACTCCTTTATAGGTTGATAAACTTCGGAAAGGATACCATAATACTTTTCATAGTCTTGACTGGTTTTTATCTAAAATTTGTATACAATGTTTTATTGATGCATTTAAGACACGTTTGATCTAGGCAATCATTTTTTTAAATATCATATCACACACCTCTCCGCTCCTTATCTGGTCTGATATTTTATTGCATGCTGCAATGACAGTGTTTCCTTGATTTGAAGTTATTTTATTTGTGCGGAATAATTTATATGTAGCATCAAAAACTTTTTTTCTAAAATTTTCAAGTGCAACTAAATCAACTTTTTCAAGTTTTATCTCTGTTTGTACCTGGAGTGAACAAAAGTTCTACATCAATAACAATTTTATGAAACATTATGCAATACGACTAATTGATTTATTAAATTGAATCGAGCTGCAATTCCAACCATGCAGTATTTATAAAATTGCTTAACCCAAAATTTTTGAAAACGTCCCACAAGTTTTAGAAACAGTTTGGCAGGAGTTTACCTATTGCACAAATTTTCTGAATCAGTGATAAGCTTATAGATAACATACCACATACTTACTATAGCCAATGCCTACTCCTAATCACAACCTAGCATTGACCATAGAAATAGGCCCAGTAAAATACTCTGTACTAAAGTGATAAACCATGTGAAGGATCATATACCGACAAGAAAGGCCTTATACAATATATGATAATAGTAGTCTATGGATTGTGTGTAAGATTTTAGCTTATAGATTTTTTTTTTCTGAAAATTATTTTTTACATTTTTCTCGTTCAGCTGAACGTAAAAGATGTTTTCACCTTGCTATCTATTTGAACAAAAATTGAATAGCAGTTTTGTTCAAGTAATTTTCTTCTTTCATCCATCTCTTTTTGACTCGGATTCTAAAAAGAATGGTAGTTTTCAATTTATAAGTGCTGCTGTGGATGACATAGTAGATAATTGACCCATTTAGTAATATCTACAAACATCAAATTAATAAGACGGAACATCACATTGCAAAGCGATTTTAACTCAGAGGTTTATGTTAATCGTCCTAAATTAACCAAAATGAAATATATACCTAGTGCGCCAGTGAGTAATGAATTTTTTGCCTTCCGCAGCTCATAATTGTGACGAATTACATTTTTTTACACGTTTCGTGGTTGCTGTGATCGGTATTTCTGTAGTGTGTGTACCAGGTTTCAGGCCATAATTTTATTCTAATTTTCCGCCCATAGGTTTCTGTCCCCTTACACAACTTGATGTAAAGTAGGCGAACAAAATTAGTTACCTCCATATTGGTAAACACATTTCTGGAGCGACTATGTGATCTATCCTAACCCAATTGTATTGTGCATTTGTTTATTATTCTGTTGATTTGACACTCAAAATGACCCGACGCAAGTCATTTTCAAATAAAATAATTCTACCTATATTATCACTTTAAAAGTTGGTTAAAGAATTCTTGGTTACGCTTTCAATAGATCAAGTTAAATTGTACATTAATTTATTATTTTGTATTCAAATATTTCTGTAAATTTGGCACTCAAAAGAATTGGACACACATTTTAAATTGAAATAATTCTAGTTATTTGTAAATGAACTGTTTTTATTCAAAATTTCATTTATGAGTTTTGAGTATCTGATCCAGTAACCAAGTCTATTATCTGTAACTGGCCCACTCGACCCAGCTCGACGAACTATCGGCATTTAACCAAGTTCACCGAGATCATTAGACTTGTGATAAACGGAAAATAATTTAGTACTATTTAATAGTCATAGGAGCTTCTATTAGCCATAAGGTCGTCGAGAAGCATTACCGGAAAAAAGTTTGAAGCCTTGTTCGGAGCAAAAGGTGTATGCTTCGGCATAAAAATATTATTTTCCATTTATATGAGCATGCTGGCATGCTATTATCAATAAAAAAATTGAGGAAATGTATAGTATTCTGAAATAAATCCGTGTCAGCTACTGAATCTCACCGATTTGTCGAGCAATGCATATGCATCGACACAATAAGAATTTATTTCCTCTGCTTCCGCATTGCTAAGGTTGTCTGCGTATTTCGGATCAGTTACAGCTTGAATTATTTTGCCTAGACATTTCTCAAGTTTTTGTTTTGATTCGGAAATCAGTTGAAGTTCTTTTTGATTTTCTGTCTATGTATACAGAAATATGTTACATGTTAATCAGTGATTATGCTTATTTAAACAAAAATTATTAAATCACTTAATATTCTTCAATCAATAGTTTCGGAAACGATCATGTGAGAATCTGCTTACTCAATATGTCAGATACGTTCTTTTTATTATTATTAATCTGTAAATAGCCATCATTTTACAAAAATATTTTGCTAATGTTATTGCAATTTCTATTGCCAATCTTTTGTCCATACCTTTGCGGCTTCTTCCATTTTCTCAAACATTCCTTCACTCCATTCTCGAAATTTCTTCAAGTTGTCATAAATATCCTTTTCCTTTGCGTTCTGAATTAAAATCAATCAAAATGTTGATGTATATATATAATACCTTTTTGTACATGCTTTGTGAGTATCCCGGGTTGTGCAAAGCGATTCTGTTTCATATGTTCAGATGGGCAATCTTACAAATAAATCTAAAAATCCTACCGTGCGTATACACAAGTAATGTTATTTACTTCATTTCTGTTGATGAACATTACATCTTCAATTTTCAATTTTATGTTTCTCAAAGCGTTGATAAATAAATATATTTGACTTCAATTGAAGTTCGTCATGCCTTTACACAATACATAATATATGACAGAAAAAATACAAATTCAAAGAAGATGATAAAATAAAAACTATTAGAACCTGGTTGCTTTCCGCCCATTTTTTCAGTCTTTGACAATAATGAAGCAGATGAAATTTTTCCTCGGTTATTCTCTTGAAATGCGGAAGCTTGGCTTTGCTCTCAGCAATATGGATAGAACGTATTAAATCCTCCAGAGCTTTCTGGCATGGTTTTCGTTCCTCTTCTTTCTTCTGCTGTTCAAAATGTTTTGTCTAAAAGTATTTAGGGATTCAAGTCTACAGTTGAAAACTACATAAACAAACAATGAGGCATTTAGATTCAAACTATAATTTGGTGATTTAAATCAAAAGTTGTTCATTGACATAATTTTGTCATTAATTAGCAATTTGTTCAACATATGAAATATAAACATATATATATATCATCTAGAACCTAGGTATTTCATCTATTTTAATATCCGAACAATGAAAAAAGAGTTAGAATTTTTTGAGTAGCAGCTCCAAGAATTTTATTTAAACAATATATTCGATTTTGACTATTCATTTTTTAAATCTTATTTTTGATATTTTTTTAAAGCATAGCGCGCGTCAATTGCTTTTTATATCATATCATTATCTAACAAAAACTTTGAACTTTTATTTATCTTCAAAATACAAGAGACAAAATACATCGCTCAGGAATAAGAAAATGAAAACAAAGGTAACGATTTCCATATACCATGGTATCATACAATACCCATACCAAGTTTCCCTATATGTCGTAAAAAGCGTTCCCAAAAATTTGAAGTAGTTAACAAAATTTGACATAAATATCCGATTAAAAATAAAGGAAACTATCCTCCTCATATAATTTATGAAGTTTCAATTTTTGAAAGTTCAAATTTACACAATATGCAGAGATTTTAAATAATATATTAGCATTGCAATAGAGGGAGCAGAAAGGCGTGGCCCCACTATATATTTCTTCATCCGTTATATATTTGTGTTGACCAAAAAATAAGCTAGTTATTGATTTTGGGTGATTATCCTTATTGCCATTTCTTAGAAAACTAGTAGATCGTATATCAAAAAATTACGTTTACAAATGAACAAAATCAAAAGTAAGCTACCCCTTTCATTTTGTTAAAATTTATCATAAACAATGGGAGCCGAAAACTTTTTTTTATCGAGCATAAACACGTCCCTTATAATATACAAGTCCGTGTACAAGATATATAACAATTTGCAATTTTCATTTGGCTAGAAAATTTATTTGTTTGTGGATTTTTGTGAATTTTTTGAGTCGGATTCCAATTTTAAAACTTAATTTCCTATTTTACGCTACATTATAATAACATTATATTATTATTATTATAATAATTTTAATAATAATCACATTATATTATAATAATTTTACTCGACCAAAGTTATATTTAAAGCACCATTATGCCAATACCCCATTATATCATGATTACTTTTAGCAATTCATCAATTAGTAACGTCAAATTTAGATTGAAATATTATGAATAAGTTTTGAAATCAAATTGTCCAAAACCTGGTATAATCTGTTTATTTCAAAGAATACATCACAAACAAACAAAAAACATTTTGCCATAAAACTTAAAAAGAGAATTTACTTGGAACACCTGTTTTTCTCTACATATTCGTATGAATATTGGGTGGCAGCAATTCTGAAATTTAATTTGTTGGTGGAATAGAGTTTCTTTTGAAGCATTCTAAAAGCAATGTAGAAATTTTAAAGACAATCAATGTAAAAAAATATTTATAATGTTTTGCTATATATGTATGTACTAATACTCTTTTAAAACGTTTCTCGTGCTTTGGAATGTACACGGATCAAAATTTCTTAACCATACCAACATCTTCGATTTTGCCAATTATGCTGAAATGTGCTAAATTAAAACAAATAAATCATTTTAATTTAAATACATTTTAAATATAATTGAATCACCTTGTTTCTGCTGAGCCAATCAAAAACAGATTTACAATTTTGCAACAATATTTTTTTTTCTTCCTTGTTCAGTTCTCCTTGTGAATCCAGAGATATCGCAGATTCCTCTGTGTTGAAAACCAAAGTTTCCAACTTTTCTCTCATTTCTGCGAGGTTTCTGAATTCAATATCCTCCAATCTATATATTTCAGCCTCCTGTACCTAAGAAGAGTACAAATTTCAAATTTTAAATTATTTTGTCTGATTTTGTCTATTCTATGAAGCATGCCTCGTACATAGTACATTGAATTTATTCAATAAAAATATTATTGGATGGCAATATCTTACCTAATGGCATAATTTATTGCTATATTTTGTTATTTTTCAATCTCAATATATGAAAAAAATCGAAGAAATAGAGTTTTGAAATTAGATACTTCATGGAAAAATTGTACACCAGATCATAAGTAATGCATCAGTTATTGAATTGATTTGAAATTATGGATAAACGAGGATTACGCTCAAAATATTAAATAGCAAATTACCAGGCTTGACTCTGATGTAAATTAATTGCACCACCATCTTTAAAAACAGAAGTTTGAAAAAGACAGAATTATAACAACTTTGTTTAATCAAAGTTTTGTTTCATCCCAGTACTAATGTCTATAAAAATTTTAATCTAATATTGCTAGAATGAACCAAACGTACCATGCGATCTATTTCTTCCACAGTAAGTTTTAATTGGGCGGATTCAAGTTGTAAATTGTTTTTGTTTCCAGTAATATTATCTTTTGCTGTTACAGTCAAAATTCCACTGGAATCAATATCAAAGCATACATCTATGCGGGGTACTCGTCGTGGGGCAGGACAAATTCCCGATAAACTGAAGGAGCCCAGGTGTTTGTTGTGTCTGGTAGACGTTCTTTCGCCTTGGTATACCTGTATTATAAGTTAATAGGAGTGAAAAAAAATAATAATCAGTAAAAACTAAAATAGGTTTCAACATGAACAAACTTAATTGTCTCTGATTTAACTCGCTGACTAATCAAAGCGGTAGGAATACGCTCGCCACGCATATCTGATTACCCTACGTGGGTTCGCAGATTCGAATCCCATGCGGAGATGGTTATGTGCGAGAGGATTGCTGGACTCCTCGCCGTCGTAGGGTGGTTCACGTAACCGCTGATCGGTTACAGTGTCCTCCACCACCAAGTCCATGCTCCCGAAAAACAAATACCTAAAACTAATCCCATACCCTACATTGACTGGTAACCGGACGAGAGTCCGTTGTTGGTCATATGGGTAATCCGTCTTATCGGCTTCCCTCTCCCCGGGGATAAATATGTAAATCCTATCCTAACTAGAAATGATGAGAACACTTGCCGAAAATTTAATAGTAGTTTGATTATCAACATCAGTAGTGACTGATTTGTAATATTTAGAAGGAATTTTAGAATTTTTCTCCACAACTACTGACATGATATCTCCAACAACGTTGATGCCGAGGGGCAAAGGTACAATATCATAAAGAATAAACTCTTTTATCTGAAAGAAATATTAAAAAAATAAATAAATCTTATAGAACCACTTATATGATTGCAAACTACCAATAAATCGGTCCTCTTCCAAAATACCAATTAATGAAAATGTATGACTATTACCAAAGAAATTATACTTATGTGGGCACAAAAGTGATAAGTTGTTGTTTATGACATTTTTCAATTAATCGTTACTCAAATAGGTTATCGAATTTCAAAAATATATATGATTTTTGCAGGTTGCGTTGATTATTGCTGACTAATCTGTTATATAAAGTCAATGTTGCTATACACAATGAATTCGTAACCAAAATAAATGTTTAATGCTAAAGGAATAACAATTACTACATATTTCAAAAAATATGCCTCAATTATGATAAATTTTATTTTATTTTTTCAATATTTCTTGCTTATAACGAATTTATAAAACTTTCATATACAAATAAAATCAAAAGCTGTATTTACTTTTGCAGATGCACCAGTACTGAGATCAACTGCAAGTGCTGCAGCCCCATGTGCCACAGCTTCATCCGGATTTATGGTTTTATACAATTCTTTGCCGTTGAAATACTCTTGGATCATTTTACGCAGTTTGGGGATTCGAGTTGATCCACCCACTAATACGACTTCGTCAACCTATAATTATAATGAATGAACAAACACTGAAGTGTAAGAAATGGACTTAAATTTGTTGTATTTATAACATTACCCTTTCTTTGTTGAAATTTGCGTCAGATAGTGTAGTATCTACTGTTTGGAGTATTCGCTCAAAGTAGTCGTAGTTCAATTCTTCAAATTTAGCTCTACTAATAGTTGTTTTGTAATCTTTCCCGTCGTGAAAGCCATAGACTTGAACTCTGTAATATAAAATTAGCTTTTATCTGTATTATATAATTCCGCGGTGTATCGCTGTTTTCTATCAAAAATGTCATAAGAAAACCCACATCAGGGGGAAAAAAGAAAAGGTTGGAAAAGAATGTTGCATAAAATCAAAATCTCAAATAATAAATTTGACTTGCTGTCAACATTTTAACCAACTACTCAACTGGCGGACCGCGGTCTGAATCCGGACCATTCGAATGTTTGAATCGGACCGCACCTAATTCTTTATTTTGAATCATTAGCCCCACTTTTTGGAAGTTTCCTTGTATATTTTTGAATATTTATGAAAACAACTATGACGCCATAATAAACAATCTTGATTAGCTAATAAACCTTGACCGGCCGAGGAAATGAGCGTTTAAAGATACCAAAATATAATTTCTGGAAAGATTGGACCCAAATAATTTTGAAGTTTTGTATGCGGATCTTTGGTAAAAATAGTTGAGTAGCCCTGCTTTATACCATAAAATATTTTATTGCAATAAAAGTATACTATCACTACTAAGTATATTGGAAGATTTATTGAGGTAATTAGACAGAACAAATATCAAATACTTGAAATTTCAAAAAAGTTCATACAAAATAGAAGTTGGAAGTCATTGAATGTTAATTTAAAAAAATATTTCCCCACGACGTTGATTTGAAATCGATTGCTTTTTAAACTCACTTTGCTATCATAGATACGGATAACTTTTGTTTTGCTGCTTCACATTGGATTCTAAGTCGGCTCATCGCTCTCTTGTTTTCTGATATATCAACTTTATTTTGTGTATTGAATTCTTCAACGAAGTGTGTCACCATTCTGTCGACAAAATCCTCCCCTACAAATTTATTTTTGGAGTAGCAAGTAGTAAGAGCAGAGAAAGGTTTGGAATATAGTCTAAAAATCTTTTATACTTTTAATAATTGATTAGGACATTAATTTGTAGCCAATGACGATGTAAATTTATACAATTTTTAAAGGGGCTATCTTTAATAATAATAAAATAAATTACCTCCCAAGTGGGTATCTCCTCCTGTTGCTTTGACATCAAACACTCGATCTTTTATTGTAATCAGTGTCACGTCGAATGTTCCGCCACCGAGATCGAAAATCAAAACATGACGCTCGTCTTTTTTCTGCGTTAAACAACATTTGATCAAAAGTTAAATAAGTAATATCTTTTTTGTAGATTTAAATAAATAAGCCATATCGTGATATATTGAGAAAAATTGCCGGATTAAATGATTTTTTTGCAGTAACTCATGTAAGTAGATATTATTTTACCTCTCTATCTAGTCCGTAGGCAATTGCAGCAGCCGTTGGTTCATTTATCATTTGTAGAACATTGAGACCGGCTATTCTTCCAGCTTCTTTTGTAGCCTTACGTTGAGAATCATTAAAATAAGCTGGCACTGTTATAACAGCATCGGTGAACTTGCAACCCATGTAAGCCTCAGCGGATTCTTTGAGCTGCTCTAATATCAGGGCACTGATTTTCTCGGGGTAATACGTTTTCTTTTCGTGTTTGTATTTCACCTAAATATGGGTAGTTGTATTATCAGGTATTAATTAGGTAAAATAAATGTTTACATTATATGATGTCAGGAGTGTCATTATAGTTTTTAATGTCAAAATGCGAATATATGTTAAATAAAAACAAACGTGCATTTACTGATTTAGATTAATCCAGCATACCTGTATTTTAGGTTTGTTATCTTCGTTGATTATCTTGAATCCCCAGAATTCTGAATCTTGTTGTACATTGGGATCATCAAACTTTCTGCCGATAAGTCGCTTAATTTCTTCAACATATATATAAAAAGTGGAAAAAGATAACTCTATTTCCATTAATCATTTGTTAGTCAATTAGAATTATTTTAGTTGTATTTCGATTTGAGAGACTTACTGCAAGTTTGCCTCGATTCGTTGCAGAGGTTATGCTTGTGAGTAATTTTTCTAATTTTAAAATCCGTTTCGAAAAATTGTTTTCCACCTAGATAATTTTTTTCGGTGTTTACTTAAATTGAATGAAGTAATGTGTCATACAGTATGTACTGATTTCTGCTTGCCACCAGTAGGATCACAAGTTGCTTATCATCGTTCCATAAAATCACATCTGCTTTGTGGTGAGGTCAAACAATACCAATACAAAAAGAAAACTATTGATTTATCAAAATTTTAAAAAATATGGTTGTAAAAGCAATATTAATAACTCACGAAACAAGGTATTTTCAAAATTAAATGGTATTTCATCTTTTGCCGCCTTCCCGGTCAATATCTCGGTATCAGAAAATGAAACACACGATGGTGTTAATCTGTCACCTTCGTTGTTCGGAACAATTTCAATCTAAAGCCAAAACAGTTGGTTTTATTCGGCATTTTTTATTCAAATACAATTTAAAACAAGTATTAAACTTTTTTTTTCAATATTGCATTATAGGTTTTACTGCTCCAACAGATGTGAGATGAATTATCTATAAACAAAATAATTGGATTGAACCACTTTTAACTGAACTGGTTTTCAAATTGCTCTTATATTCACTTTGAACAAATTCTGGTATATTCAAAATGAACATAATAGATGTATGACGTGAAATTTTGAATACTCGAGCGTGATACAAACTTTCCCATTTCTGAGAACAGCGACACATGAATATGTTGTCCCAAGATCAATTCCAATAGCCGTCATTTCTTTGTGAATTAATTTTAAGTTTTTTTAGAGTTGCAATCACTTTTCAATATAGATAAGATACTGAAAAAGATTATAAATGTAACTCATAAATTTTGTTAAAAGTCTGCACTGTTGTACGAATACCAGCATGTTCTGTACCTGGAATCAAATCCGAAATGATTCGCGAGAATTTGAGCAATTAACTTAACAAAAACGTTTACAAACAACTCTTTTTTATCTTGTCAGCTATTTTTGTTAATTACCTGCAATTACCTCTTTTTATTTTTGTCTAATTCAGATTTTGGTAGATTTTATATCGATACCGTTGATTTATTATGAGAGGAACATTTATTGATATTCTATAGGTAACTGTAAGTCGTTCACCCATAATAAAAAGGGTCATTTAAATATTTAGTCGTCGATTGCGACATAACGTACATACCGGAAAACGTTCTTTATTTGTTCATTCATTAAAGTATAGCAGATAATATGCGTATTATGTAACATCGCTCTACGATGCTATAAATACATGAATCATTGAGTGGAAAATGATAAATCATACGTGACAACATCAAACAAGAGAGCCATGCTCAAATATTTGGACATGGAGGGCAAAACGAAATATTATATCACCGAAAATCATATGTGGCAACTTACCACACCTGTATAGGGGTGCCAAGGCGATGCCAAGTTTTTTCCTGGTTCTGTAAGAATGATCCTTTCTTTAAAATTCAGTTTCAACATGAATTAAAATACCAAGTGATCCGAGTAACTTCATATTTGAAATAAATATTTGAAATAATTAAAAGTTATAGCCTTTTAGCGAAAAATTCAATCTTTAATTACTTCAAAGTTCAAAGCAATTGGACCATTAGTTGAAGCGAAAAGCGATTTTGTCATAACGATATGAAGAAAAATACCGAAAAACAACAAAAGGAATAGAAACAACAACAAAAGATACTAACAAAATATTCTATTGGTCCACTTCGTGTTCAACAATGAGTTCCAGTGACATACATTTTGTGTAGATATTATTAATATTAAATTACTTCCCTATTATCATACTACCGTGTTTTACAAATCATAAGGCATATCGGGTTTTAAGGCGCACCTTCAATTAATTGCTTAGATTGGGGATTTGTACATTTATATATATACAATAATGCGCACTGGGCTATAAAACGCAATGGGTACTGGTACGGTACTAGTTTAGTTACGGTACTAGTTTTAATGTAGGAGGTAAATGATGTTTGAAGTATAAAAAACTACCTGTATCATACATTACGCTCACAAAGCGCACTATCAAATTTTAGAAGACGGAATTTCCGAACGGAAAAAATTACGTAGGTGATTATTAAGACTAAACGGTATTTTAGACGTTGTAAATCTCCAAACTTTTGTTAGCCTACGGTCAGGTGCGGACTTAGGGAAGTATCATAAGGGCAGCTGCCCTGGGCTATGGGCTATTTGAGGCATGGATTCAATTCTTTGAATATATTTAGCGTCCCGTAACAGATGATCGCATAATAATGAGTTTTTGAAATGGACGCAACGAGAAAATTGAGTTCCGCGTCTTCGTGTCCATAGAAATACAAAAAATGTGCGGAAAATTGTTTACCGACGCCCAACATATGTACATGGCCTCCATACCCTCTCCATTCGGCAGGAATAATAGGTGATTTTGATAGAAATTAGCCACATATAAAATTAAACATATTGGTTTATTCATTGGTTTATTGATGTTCTGATAACTCGTCTAAGAGAGGAACACACGGATGATATATAGATTGACCTTTGCTTTCGCTCTTTACTTAAGTCTGCAAAATTTGTCTCTCGTGTTAGATAATCACCAATCGAGCAAAAAGCAGCGATATCACGCGCCTCCGAAATAACGTAAACATGTTTTGTATAAGCTTAATCTATTTATAGAAGCTTGTTAAAAATTTAATTCATAGCGATGTCATTTTGTAAATAGAAATTCGCCCGAGAAATTTCGATTTTAATGTCTCCACATACCGATCTTGGTGGACATACTTCTGGAGGTCCCCGTTATTACCTACAAGAACGCTATTTAACGTTATTTAACCGTTTTGCCCATCCAGATCTAATTGAGGGCGAATACAATTTTTTTCTATGGGTAAAATTATTCATTAGCATTAAACGAGTGGTGTATTTGTTTTTGATACCGAAATAACATTGGGCGTGACAAATAGACTGATATGTGAAATTTTCACCTACAGTACACATAAGTTAAAAGAATTAGCTACTACAAATTGCAAAAAAAATTGATAATAATTACAATTAAAAAGCTTCTTTGCGTGCCATATATATCGACAATGATAAATCTCTAAAATGAATTAAAATACTAATAATTGTGACGATATTTCTCACATTTAATTTATTATCGTCTGGATCGTTTTCACATTGTAGCACATATTGAACGGTGAGTGCATAAATAAATGTCTAGTATTATCTATACTCTATATATGAAAAAAATAATATCTGACATTCTAAACAACAACTTCAACTCTTTTCTAAATTGATCAAAATACCTATGCGAACTTTTGGTAATATTCACCATCATTCATCCCTGTATAACAGACATCTAAACAATCAGACGAAATATATATGTTGTGCTGTAATCTGTATGCTAGCTGACTCGCCTTTATTTGTTCAATAGCTTATCTATTCTCAAAATATTCTTAGCAAACTATTCTTAACTATCTTTAAATATTTTTATGTGTTTTGTAACAACGCAATAAATTGCTCGACAAACACGAATTTTACCGTGTGGAATGTGCTTCAAGCGTTATTTAGCTCGGTCACAACTAACTGCACGTTCTTTTCTTAAATGGCCCCTGTACGGATATTGTGAAATAACAACTAAGATGGCTCATTTTTTAAGTCTGACTGACCATGGCAAATTTAACTTTGAATATTGACCAAAAAAATAAAAATATAATTTACTAGTATGAATCTTCAATTGCATGTTTTAATATTATAAATAAGTCCATTTGCACAAGGACCGTTTCACGCCAATACTCAAATTAAAATAACTAGAATTGGAATAGCTAGAACCACGTATTCCCTTTCGACGAAAATACCTGCATCTGCAATGGACTTATCATAATTTATAACTGGATACACATCTGCTCCTGAGTCTCCATGTATTGAATATTAAACACAAAATGCTACACATCTAGGGTCAGGCTTCTCAATGTACACAATAGGTAGTTACATTTTTTCCAAAAAAAGGGCGATGAATGGAAAAAAGACATGCGAGTACGTGACAGAAAACTTTCAACCATTGTCTTTGTTGTTTGGTCATACTCTAAGATGGGGGGGTAATACGAGAAGCTTTAATATTGCTGGAGTGGATCGCCAACAATTGTTACACTACGAAATTTTTGACAACTGATGTTGGCCACTTTATTTGAAAATGAAATGTTTGCAGAAGTATCAAACGCTAAAAAATAAACGATAACAATATCGAATCCGTGGCAATGGAGTATATAGGCATAAAACAACAGGATAAAGAAAAGTATAGTGATATCGTCCTGCGTTTTGTAGAAACATATCCTGTAAGACAGCGGTCCCCAAACTTTTTGTACTAGCGGCGCACTAACAAATAAAGAATCGCTGCTACTTTCAAATAAAACTCAATTCTGTGATCGTTCATGGGTACATTGCGCTTACTTTTTAAAATTTTAAACATTTAGGCTTAGGAAATAAAGGCAGAAGTTCAACTCATCTCCGCCTAAGTTTTCGTTAAAGTTCTAAAAAATTACTCAGATTCGCTAAACTCCGTTTTCTTCATAGCAGATGAATTAACAACTGCTGATTATGAAATTGCAGCAAGTAGTGTCTATCTCTATTGTTACGTAACAATTGGGGCAGATACCATGTAACATCAATTAAACGGTATTTATAGAAAGATAAAATGAATTTATTGATTCATATACACCGCATTTAAAATACGAAACAACAAAACATTTATAATAAATACAATTTATTAAATATTCAATCATATATTAGTTATGTTTAACAAAATTTTTGCGGCGCACCTGACCACTCGCCGCGGCGCACTTTTTGGGGACCGCTGTTCTAGAGCACCGTACTCCGTGTCTTCTAGTAATAATTTGTCATTTCAACAGATCAACATTGCCAACTAACGGTTGGGAATATTGCCATGGGTTAATTACGAAGATAAAGCACATTCTCTGCCACGCGATGTGTGTCTTGAGAAAAATGTTGAAAACAGATCGCAGGCCTTCGAGATTGGGCTTACCGTAATTGAACCTTGCTATTTTCAACCTACATGGAACTCCATATTTTGATAATGTGATTTAGCGTAGGTCAACTGTAAGTCTGTGATGGAGTTTATATATATATATTGAATGCACAATTTAAAATACATGTGCCCATTGAATTTGCCCTAAAGCCCTTGGTTCTTATCCGCTCCTTCAATCATTTATGCCCGCTTCTTAAATACAACGGTGTCCTGGATATCGGTATCCAACCCCAGAGTCCGTTTTATATGTCACAATATGCAAATATTATCGTAAAGGAATCCGGATTATAAACAATTGCAAAAAGCAATTCGGTAGCGAGCAAAAAACTCGAAAATTCCGAATGACATTGTTGTTGTCATTTAAGAATGTTGGTATTTTCGTTTCCTTGATCAGTTCTAGTTTTATGAAATACTTGCATAACCACAAACCACAACACAATCTTTTGAGCTATCGGGCAACATATGCAAATTCTAGGATATACACGTTTACTCTGTAGTAATTATTCTACAAATTTGGGGGTCCTGTCGACTCTTTTCACGTACTCTTTTACCTTCACGTGCACTTATAATACACATACTCAAGAATCCAGGCTCTAGACCTGAAATGGGCAAACTACGACGCGGGGGCCTAACTCGACCCGTTTGGTACTTCAACCTGGCCAGCTTGATGCTTCTACAACCAAACTTAAACCAAATTCTGAGCTAAAAATAGCTCAAGAAATTTCTTGAGAGTGGGATCCAATCTAGTTTTGGCACGAGGCTTGTTGTTTCCCACTTATACTTTGGTAACACTGTAAATATTGTTCGTAAATGTAACTTTTTACGTCACATCCACATAGCCCGCCAGTCCTGATGAGCAAAATTTTGGGCCCCTGGTCCAAAAACCTGGCCCACTCCCTATTTCTAGACTGTAATGGATGTCATGATAAAGGATGAGGAAAGAGCACAGCACAGCAAAACCCAAGCGTGTAACCTCATGAAATCAAAAATACAACATTGGATGATATAAAGCTGATATAAATGCTGTAATGCGTCAACATAGTTTCACACTCATTAGTTTTCCTATAAAAATCGAAACGATATCATTTGCAGCAATTAAGATAAGTCAAGAAAGCAATTAACACATTCTGACATCATTTATTCTAACTCATAGCAGAAATCTCGGGGCCTTGCACAATTAACGTGTGATGGCGTATTCACAAAATTACATCAATTTGAAATGTCGCAGGTAAATAAGCTTACATAACTTTCCAAAAAAGTAAAATACTTGAGCTTCTATTTTTAAATTAAATTCGAAAGCAAAATTTCAGGCAAAAGTTAAAATAAATAAATGATTTTGAGTATAATACAAGGAAATTATTAAAATTCTTCATCTTGATAATAATATGTGATAAATTTGTCACTGAACAATCATCGTGTAATAATAACAGTTTAATTTATAGTGGAAATGCAGATCTCATTGAAATTTATCTCTGAAATTTACTAAAAATTTCAAAACCATCTGGAATCATTGCAAAGATCGGTCGGCAGGTTTCTTCTAATTCCTCTTTCTTTTCTTCAGAATCATAAATTTGTGGATTCTAAATTAATAGAAACATGACAAAGGTGAGAATTTCACCAACTTTTAATATTATTTTTGTATGAATTGCAAGAAAATTTTTTTCAATCTTACGCCTGTATCATTGAGCCAGTTTATTATTTCATCACACTTTTCGATTATCTTTTTCTTATCCTTGTCTAGAAGATTCCATCTCAACTGCGGTTCTGTGACAGCGTGTTTGACAGCGTACACAAAATCCTCAAGCTTGTGAGTTTCGTCACTGCGTTTTCTCCACTCCGCGTCTTCACTTTTAAATCTTTCTGCATCTTCTGTCTTGATAAACAAAAATTATAGTCATCCTTATTTTTCACAACAAAAATAGGAATTTATCCAAACTTGAATTTACAACCCTACTGCGGTTGAAACCTTTTTCAGTAACTGGCTATTAGTTTGCAAGAGCAATTTGCAATTATGTGTGAAATGTGCTGACCATACTTAGAACTCAAATAAATAATTTTGAAAGTTGGATCAAAATAATAAAAGAAAGTCGGTGCTGCCGAAGTATGTGCACCAAAATGAAAATATTATGTGTACCAGGGTAAAGTTATCAGGTTGTGCGCCATCTTGGTGCATATACTTCAGGAGCACCGAAAAGTCTGTACATTTCTACTATATACGCATAATTTTGGTAGCGATAAACAAATCAACCAAAATGACTATTTAGAATTTTCACTTACTCTTGAACAAACAAAAATAGCAAACCATTCTTTTTATTTCCATTTCACTGAGATTTCCCCTGCTGGCAATATTGATTTGGTTTTCTTTCCCTGTACTGACATTGCGTGCTCTAACGGAAAGAATTCCACTTTCATCAATGGAAAAGCAAATTTCTGATCTTTCAACACCTCGTAAAGCACAAGGAATTCCTTCGATGCTGAAACTACCGAGATAATTGTTGTCGGTAGCAGCAGCACGCTCTCCTTCATATATCTTAAAACATGGAACACATAAGTTTAACTTCGAAGATTTGGAGTCTATATTTTAGACTAATGTTATTTTTTCGTAGTCCCACAAACGCAACCATTTTTCATTCAGAGTCGCAGACGTGATTGGGGCTTGAGAAATAAATTACCGAAAAGCAAATTTATATACTCAATATTTTGATAATTCTATATTTATCTACTTTTACTTTATCTTGAAAAAAACATTGGTTTAAGATTGGATGATATAGGATGAAAAGGGTATTATCTATAGCATAGGTTCTCAAAGTGCTCCGTACGGAGCCCCAGGGCTCCGCGAAAAAACCCAGGGGCTCCGCGAGATATTGGATTACTTTTCAAAATACTGACTAGTTTTGTAACTGTTCTAATAAGAAGCAATAACAGCTTTGATAAAATCTGACAACAAAATAGCCTCGAAAAATGGCAAAGAGGCGGAATTAAAAAATGACATTATTTATAAGCAGGAGCGCAGCCAGGATTCTTAAGAGGGAGGTGGTTCAAAATTGGAATCAGAAATTTCCGCGCAACATTCTTCGCGATTAAAAAAACGGATAACGAGATTTCTATTGGGTAAAATATTTAATCCATGACCGATGCGAGCATTTAACGAACAATTGAAATTTATTTTATTGCATTCGGCTCCGTCGGTAGTTTCAGAATGAAAAAAGGTACATCGCGGAGCGCGCACAATTGATTGCGTGCGGCTCCGTCGGTAGTTTCATAATGGGGGAAAAGGTACATCGCGCGCACAATTGACTCTGTTTCGATTTCGCAGTTACTACGATGAAAACCTAACATAACACCAAATTTTGTGGCTTACAATGTCTATAAATACGTTTTCAATCTGAGGTGAGTCTGCTGAAACCAAACCTGTGATCTTCCATTATAAGTTTCAGTTTTATTATTTTAGAATGCCGCTTTTCAATCAAGAAATTTGAGTTGCGGATTTACCTCTTTATTAATTATTATTTTTAGCATTTCGTCACCGATGACTATAATATGGTAACATGTTTTTCACATTGAACTCATAATTCCCCACCAGAACAAAAAAGCAAATAACGTCGTCATTGTGTAACAATACATGTATATATAATAAATACCGGCGTAAAGATGTTAAAAGGTTCAAAGACACGCCATGCTGACGAAAAAAATCGGCGATTGTAACAAAATGCAATCGCGCACGTTATTGGCGGCCTTTTAAGTCTTCCAAAAATGTCAAAGGGAAAAGATTCGACCCCTTATTTATTAATATGTTTGTCAAGTGTCAAATTTACAGCTTTAGTGTTTATATAATTTATTTTTGAAATTTAGATTTATGTATGACTTGTATTAACCCTAAGGTTCAGCATTTAAATTAAGTAAAGTACTTTTAACTTGCTCAGGAATATTAATCTGAAAGTAACAATTTTAACATTTATTTTGGGGCTCCGTGAATAATAGTCAACCTTTTCAAGGGCTCCGCAACACCAAAAGTTTGAGAACCCCTGATCTATAGGACCGATGGCGTAAGACAACTTACGCTAAAATGCGAGCTTCTTTGATAATCCTCGCCAGTCTTGGAGCTACTCCACTTTTCGGTTGGTATCGTAGTATTTCGTTTCACCACTGTAACCATGTCTCCCCTTTTGTTTTTCCATCCAAGTGACAGAGGAGTCACGTCAGAAAGTGACAACTCTTCCATCTGCATAATAAGATAATTTGATTATGTTCAACACTAACGGGAATAGCAGAATTATTAATTATATATCTTTCAGCGTATATAAAAACGAATGTAAAAAGCATTGTTAACTATCTGTTTTACCGTGACTTTCACGCTATGGATGTATAAAAGATATGTTAAGTCGCTTTTGGAAATTCGAATGTGTTGCAACATTTTACAAATTTTATTAATTTTACAAAAATAGTAATTTCTATAAATCCTGAACGTAGTTTCCCTACCTGGAGAGTTACATCCACCATTTAACACAAAAAGAACGATTGTGAGTCCTGCGGATTGTTAGTTAATCATATATATTTTATTTGGAAACGTCTTTATACATTATTTCCCGAAATTTTGTTTTATGAGCAGGCGTTCATTAAATTATTAATTTCACCTCAGATGAAGCATCCCCAGATAGAGTGGCTGCCAGTGCAGCTGCGCCATACGCAACTGCTTCGTCTGGATTTATGGTTTTGTTGATTTTCCTTCCTTCAAAAAACTCTTGTAAGAGCTCCTGTATCTTTGGGATGCGTGTTGATCCACCAACCAGTACAGTACTATCAATCTGTTTGAGGAATTTGTCTAAATCAGGATATGATTATATGCAGGATGAGTAATTTTCCGTAGGTTAAATTCGTATAGAATATTTCCAATTTTTCAGCTTTGTAAAATTGTGAAATTCAAATATTCATGTCAAAGACGCAAAGACGCAAAAACACTCCACTAATCGAATCTATGTATATTATCGTCATCACATTATACATTTTACAATTATATTTTCCCGATAGTCGTTATTTACATTTTAAGACAAGTATGAAAAATATAAATAAATAAACAATCTATAGCTCAGTAAATTTTAAAGTAGGGTCGCGGAAGGTCTAAAAACGGATCGCAACAAGGTTGTCTCTGCAAATGCAATCTGAGGGAGGGCCGAATTTATAAGCTGGTCCAATTACCTTTGGCATTTAAAAACAATAAGATATTGAATGTCTTATCCCGGAAAGAATTTTCTTAAACGCTTGTTGCATAACAATTTATATATGTATACCAGTCACGTGTCTTGTGTTAGAGATAATGTGGTTTCAGCTCGAGGCCCCATTTACTGTGAACGAAGCACTGTCACTGTGTGCACATGTAATGAGTGCATCTTAGACCGATGATAGTGACGACTTGCGCGCATTGCGCTCAGTAAAATAGAGCCTTGTAAATGGTGAGAAATTTCAGTTTGACTAATCACACTAATTAGTTAGTGGATTGTCTCTGATTAATGTATTAGTGTCAAAGAGTAACAAGAGAGCTATGCTCAAATATATGGACACGTAGCGCCACCCAGTGACAATAATTTTGATGACGTCATACCAAAAAGAAAAGTGATAGCCTTCTGGAGAAAAATTTTATCTTTAACCACTGAAAATATCAAAGCAATTGGTCCAGTATTCGAAGAGAAAAGCGATTTTTTAAAAATGGAGACGGAGACAAATAACAATAACAACAAAATTTTGAAACGATCGTTATGGCCACTAAACCTGTCCAATAACATCAAAAATACATATTGCGGTGTTTAAGATTGGGTCCTGAGTATTCATAAAACTCAAAGTTGGGTCGCGCTCCAAAAAGTTTAAGAACCACTAATCTGGGTGCGAGAACAAACTCGATTAAAAGTATAACTTTGAAAATCAAATTCATACTTCGTTTTTATTTATTCCTGCACTGGAAAGCGTGTCCTTCACGGTTTGAATTGTTTTTCCAAATAAATCATAATTCAGTTCCTCAAACTGCGCCTTGCTTATGCCTCTTTTGAAGTCAATACCATTGTAAAGTCCGTCTACTTGCACTCTGCGTGAAACAAGATACTAAAATGTATAATGATAAGAATGGACAGCGATAAACTTTGACAAAATTGTAAGAGATTATTTTGAAACCGTATTTTATGTGAATGGGGTTTTGAAAAAAAAAAGAACAAACGTTGCTCTAGAAGAAACAGACAACTTTCTTTTTGCGGCTTCACAAGCAATACGAAGTCGGTTGAGTGCCCTTTTGTTTTGAGACAAATCGCAATAATTCTTTTGATTGAACTCAGAGACGAAATGGTTGACCATCCTATTGTCAAAGTCATCACCTAGATATACAATGAAAAAACTTAAAATGGTTTGCACAATAAACACCAAAGCCGACAGCCATAATATCAGACTACTTGGTCACGTATCATGTTCAAACAAATATGAAGATGTCGCTTATTGTCATTTTCGGTTTGTTTCCATCTTCAAAGTTTACCTAAAGATACCTTGTTTATATTTTCCAATCATTTTGCAGAAATGATAGTTGTAGTGGACTTTGGAATAACAAACGACCAATCACCAAACTCATTAAATAGTAATCACCCTTCAAAATAACATCAACGGGTATCTTGGTGAGTTACTATCATAAGTTCTATTTTAGTCGATGTTCAGGTTATTGTACGGTTTACCTCCAAGATGACTGTCTCCGCCTGTTGCTCGGACATTGAACTTCTTATTTTTTATAGTAACAATTGTGACATCGAAGGTTCCACCCCCAATATCAAAAACAAGCACAGTCTGCAATTCATCAATCTAAATGTCAACAATAGCAAAAAGATAATGCGCATTGGCGACAATTCCTGGATCTATTAATACAGAGAGTACAAAGTTAAACGGCAGGATGTTTCATGTTCGCATGATACGTATTTGCATAAATATTGATGAATTGACCTTGTTTCGCAATAAGGTGAACGCAAAACTCACCGCTCTATCTAATCCATAAGCAATTGCAGCAGCTGTAGGTTCATTGATCATTCGTAGTACGTTAAGTCCGGCTATTTTTCCTGCATCTCTTGTTGCACTACGTTGGGAATCATTGAAATATGCAGGGACAGTTATTACGGCGTCTGTGACTGTTTCACCCACACGATCTTCAGCAGTTGTTTTCAAAGATTCGAGAATCATAGCACTTATTTCTTCAGGACAGAATAATTTGTGCTGGTCTTTATACACAATCTGTAAATGAAATATTAAGATAAAGACTATAAAAAAAATTTGGCATTCAAATTCCAGATCGATATCTAAGATATAACCCATAAATCATCTATTTATTACCATTATCTATTTAAAAATCTATTTATTCCATTACCGGTATTTTTGGCTTGTTGTTTTCGTCAATTATGTTGAATCCCCATAACTTCATGTCCGCTTGTACAATCGGATCATCGTATGAACGTCCAATCAATCGCTTGATCTCTGCAACAAGGCATTCAGGCATCAGAAGGTATATTAGTGATTATGTCAGTAAGCATTTTCAAATCACCATTAAACAGTCCTCGATTTTTTGCAGTTTCTTTTCCGAATAGGACTTTTCCATTTTTTTTTCAAATTACCTTACTGTGAGCAAGGCCATAAAATAATTGGCATATACTTTTTATCCGCGGATATATATTTCCAGTACTTTTGTTTCGTTATGATTATTCACTATCATGTTATTGGTTTGAAATAGGCCCAATCAAATACATCAAAATTGTCTAGAACAGTGGTTCTCAAACTTTATGTGCATGTGGACCCCTATGCTTCTCTGGAGTAACCGCGCACCTCCACAATTTCCTGACCAAAAACATATAAAAGGAATATAGCAGAGAGATATTCGGACAAATTTTCAAATTACCGGTAGCTGCCACTCCTCACGTACACAACACAATTAGCTTACTGATTTACCGCGTGTGATTCTGCGGATTAAGTTTGTTCCTTGTTTTCGTCTTGATTTAAATAATTGTAAAAAAACCCGTCCACATAAGTAAGTGAGACAAAGGAAATAATGATTTTAAATGTAGCGACGTTATGCTCAGTACTATTGGTACTTGTTTTGGTGCGTTATATTCATCAATATGATGTCAAAATAGAATTTCTGTTTTTCCTTTCTTTCAAAACCACTGCAAAAAGTGCAGATGTAATGGGAAAACAATTCAATATTTTTTATACTGAAGGCCTAAATTAGGATGAGTCTGTGGTATTTTCGCTGTTCAGCCATTTTGCTGCTAATAGAACGAATGCGAAGCTTAACAGCAGGAGTCGGCAACCTTTTGTCGCTCGCGGGCCGAAATACTGGTTGCAAGTCATTAGCTAGCCGCACATATTATTAGAAAGTTGAAAACCGAACGGACGATACTTTTTATAATAAAAATGAAGCAGTGATACATCTCTCGAATCTAATATAGATTTATTTCCTCATTGTATTGCATTTTTGGCGCCATTGAACCCTTTACACTTAGCATCAACTTTACTACGTTTTGTTGCCATTTGTCTGATTATAATTAAATTATAGGCTCAATAAACGAGTAATTGTGAATTTTATACTTGTTAGATTATAATATAATTTAATCTACACGCGTCTCAGAATGAATTGTGTAACGTGAAAAATATAATCTTCAAAACAGCTGTTTTGTTACTATAATTCAGTGAAGCGTCGCGGGCTGGATTATGTTTCTCCGCGGGCCTTAGGTTGCCGACCCCTGCTTTACAGTATCGGAAGTCTGACGAGATCGCTGATATGCGGTCACGGAACCACGTCACGGTGCGAATTTTTTAATTAGTGAAAAACTAAATCTAAAGAGCACACAGAATTTTCAAGATGAGTAAGAGTAATAAACTTCCAGCGACAATAACAATTATAAAACACTGAAAATTTCGGAAATTTGATCCCGTAGTTAAGCAGAAAAGATTTATTTCACAACGACAAGCAGAAAATGCAGAATGACAACGTTAACCTGTAACGGAAAAACTGAAGGATCTCGCACAAATCCCCACATGCCCCCCCATGATATTCACTCGAGTACCCCAAGTTGACAACCGCTGGTCTAGAATAACAGATATAGGGTGAAACAAAGACTTCCTATTACCAGATTATTAGACATTTAGATATTATTAATTAGCAAATCAATGTCATGAGATCAAGACTTGTTCAAAAAAAATGACCTCGATTCATTTTTACTTAATCAATCGCATTGCAAATGTTTGAAGAAAGATGATTAAAGGCTTAATCAAGGTATAAAAGGGTGAATAAATATCATACGGAATAAAGTATTCTCAACATTAGACGGTACTTCTTGTTTGGCAGCATCACCAACCAGTCTTTCATCTTCTGTGAATGACACGTACGATGGTGTTACCCGGTTTCCTTGGTCGTTGGCAATGATTTGGACCTGTCAAGAAATTGAAGATGATATAAAAACCTAATCATTAGTGGAGGTAAAAATTGACTTGTACAATTGGAAATTCCACAAATGTTTGATGGTTAACAATCTATCGCAATTAAAACAAAAAAATATATGCATTTCATAAACAGCTGAACATTGTTAAATTGTTTATCACCTGATTGTTCCAGTACACAGCAACACACGAATTTGTTGTACCGAGGTCGATTCCGATGACTGTCATTATTATGAATCTTATGTTTGCTACAATCAAACACAAAGATAAAAGATTGATGAAATTGTGTTTAAAATATTCAAAATAAAGAAATTTAGGAATAACAGGTCACATTTTAGATATGCCCGTATCTGTCATGGATTGATTACTTTGCGGATCAGAAAAATCATTATCAGTTGAAAACATCGGTTCTTTTATATAGTGGCATAATTGCGGCGGCTTTCTCAGAAGCGCTTCCGCAAGGATTTCAAGCGATGAATATGTATTTTTAATTTGATAAAATACTTCATATGAATTTGTATTGTACTAAATTAAATTGTACTTTATGAGATTTTATATCATATCTTCAGACTTTTTTAACGGCGATAACGAATTTGCAAGATCGCAAAAATACGTATCAAAATAAAGTACAATGAGGCAGATTATCTTATATTTTTATTTTCACAGATTACAGGTATATTTAAAAGTAATTAGTAATGTTTTTATTTTGGCGTGGGGAGACGTAACCGCGAGATACGTTGAACCCAATTAAATTAACATAGAAAGGTATTTCAAATTCTTCGTAGTTGTCAGAAATTGAAATATTTTGCGCGACAGAAAAAGCATTATACGATGACAACAACGGCTCTTTTGAAAGAAAGGGATTTTCCAATTTTGAACTACATCCATCTTTTGAAAATCCTAGATGCCTAATTACATTATTTTTGGCAGAATTGTAAAACTACGTAACATATATTTTTGGTCCATGCTTTTAGTTTCTATTTTGTATTCTGGTTACGCCACAAAATTGAAAAAAAAAGTGAAATTAATTTCACATTTAGAAAAAAATTCCTTTTTAATCAATTCTTTGTCTGTTGGTCGCTAAAAGGGTATTTAAAGTGGGTTTTATTAATTTCTTCAAGATTTCTTACATAGAATACAAGAACAACTTTCTGGAATATCATAAACACTGAAAAATATCACCGGACTATGCTATAATGAATGTTTTAAGTTGTTTCATATCACAACAACACAATTTAGGGAAAATCCCCTCCCCCATTTTCACAAAACCAAAATTTACAAAGAATTGAAGTGATTTTCTCGATGTACATGTCGGAAGATAACAAGAAATCTAAGTTTAAATCTAAGTTAAATATTTTTGTTACTCAGTCTCATATATACAAGCATTTCGGACCAGGCTCGATGTGGGTTAGAGATTGAATTTGAAATACCCAAACACTTTGTTCAATACATCATTGTAAAGCATTATTATATATTAATATAAAAAAAAGTAAGGACAAACTTGACTATGTGCTATGATTACTATTGTGGAGTTAAGGTTTTGTTGTGAAGATTTTTTCATTTCCTACACAACATTGTCAGAACGAGCTTGTTGCGGTGATTGAAAGTCAAAATATAATGCATGCATTTATAGCGCATACACTTCCAATTAGGGCGGTTGCGTGACAATACACAAGCGCGCCTGTCAGAAAATACAACATTCGCAGTAAATTCTCTCACATGATTCATGCTTGTTCTATTGTTACATAAAATAATATATTTGTTCTATCACATCAGAAATAACATACTAGACAGCAATGGCCCTCAGTTGACATCTGAAAGAAATGAATCGTCGCATACATTACGCCGCCTCAACCTGACGGTATACAGATTGACATATACGACAAGGGGCACTAGCGCGAGTAGTGGGAAATAAGGCTCTTTGTCGTAAATTTTCTTACCTGATTCATGTGTGTTCTATTGTTACATGGAGAACGAAACTATACGTATGACCTCGAAATAAACAATGACCTACATCTGACATCAGAAAGTGGTGCTTTCACAGAGCAAGCCTTAATAAATTGATTTTATTTGTCCGTTTTTGTATTTGTGAATAAAATGTTTCCCGGCAAATCGGCAATGTTTTCATACACGAAATATTTAGGGAGTGATACTATCAAAGACGATAAAACACTGCGTGACCGATCAATCAGACTCAGCTTAAGCGCGACTTAGCCGAGTCGACAATTACATTCACTACGGACGTATCACTTGCTTAAAACTAGCACTTTCAAACTTGTGGCCCACTGATTAAGTCAGAAATTGAAATCAATTTCTAGACTCTTACAGTGTTCGATTTGTTGTGAAAATGATCAAGATACATATACCAATTAATACAAAACAAGGTTGGTATACGATCTAAAAACTAAAATCGTGATTCGTTGCTCAATACCCGATAAAAAATCCATTTCTAATTGCTTCATTTCCTCAACTCCATTGTAATGAAATTATTTTTATAACTAAATGTGGTTGCTATTTTCATGCTATATATGGTGTCCAGTATTTTTTTAAATATGCATTACATATCTGATGTATATCCAGTAAAGAATCTTTTTATTTCTCTACACAACCTAACGCTATTTACATGTTCAATATAATAAGATGATAAATATTTTACGATTCTGTTTTTGTGCCAAAGATGATAAAAACTGAATCTGTTGTTTGAGAAGCAAAAATAACGTTCATATTGAAAGAAGAAATCAATGAAAACAATTTTAATCAAACTATCCTATGTCATTTTATCAGTTTAAGTTCATTGCAGCTTGCAATGAGCAATATTTTCTTACAAAAATGTTCCTATTTCACGACTGTTCGGTATTATTTTATCACTATGACACAGTAACTAGATTGCAGAGTGTGTTGTCGAGAGGTCACATTATCGTTGTATCCACATACATTTGCAAGCGAAGTTTTGCACTCACATAAATGTCACCGAGGCCATTCGCCGATGTATTCTTTCGCACCCATGGATGATTGCACCAGTACATTTGCACCCTCAGATTTTAGCTTTTACATACAAATATCACCCTTGATTATAATAGCAGTAATAGAGTGTTCCAAAATTACAACTTATCAAAACCATTTAAAAATCTTCTTTGTTTGGTAAATGCACTTAAATTTAATTCAAATATGGTTTATGTCGAGCGTCGACTGAAATAGCTTGAACATTTTAGGGCGCCGGTTGGGGACGTGCACTTGTAAAATAAAGCTTTAAAAATTTAGCATTTTGTGCGTAAATCGTTAAACAATGTCATATGGGCGCTGTCGAAAATACAAACAACGATCAAACAAACAATATTTTGAAATAATACTTCTTAAAATCTACCCGCAGTAATCTCATATACGTTGAAGTGGGCTTATCACAAACAAATGCTGGAGCACTATTCGATTATTAGGCAAAGACGAAAACAATATATACAAGCACAGGTGAAATGTAATTAAACGCAAAACTATTTTTAAAATAGACGACAGCATTTTATCAAATTTGAGCATAATGCATTTACTGATACTGATATCAACACACCAAACAGAGGAACTTAAAAAGCACTTTGTCTACAATAAAATAATCTCTTTTTTAAACAAAAGATTTTCTGAAAGCAACGTCAGTAATAAAAATACATTACAATTTTCAAGCTTGATACAAATATGAACCACGGTTTATAAATGCTTTTATTTCATTGATTGGGCAGAAGTTGTGAAGATTGAAGTGCCCGATTTTTATCTATCTTTATATATCATAATTTTGTCATTTAAGTAAGTCTAGTCTTTGATCAGCATTTAATCGGCAAACAACTTCAGTAAAAGATATTAAGGACGTTCAGGAGGATTAAGCACGTTCAAATCTTAAGCCAATACTGAGCCACGGAAGACTTGGTATATTATTAAACTGCAGGCCTGCACAATCGACTGTCAGTCAATCTAACCATATATTGTACTAAACTGTGACCGAAACGATTAGCATTTCGAATCGGAATTTGACAATTCCTTATATCTCCTAAATCAATTACTTTAAACAAGCATCTATATCAGGGTGGTCCCAATCCTGCCCCGCGGGCCGCATATGGCCCTTAGCTACAATATCTGTGACCCTCGACGCATTTGCTGGAGAATAATTTAAAATCGCATATATTGTTGCTTCATCATATAAATACGCGACTAATTCATAAATAATTTTGTGGCTCCCAAAGCCGACAACCTTGGACCACCCTGATCTATATGGTAAACTTAAAAAGTCACTCGACTACCCTCAAATTGCAGCTAATTCAAACTCTATAATCATCCAATTACAATCATTTTAGTCTTCCCACACAGGAAAATCATCAAGATTTTCACAAAGTTACATATTATTACTTTGATAAAATTCATTTAGCAAAATAGCAAGTTGCCGTCTTTGCGTGACGGATAAAATGTGCACAAATTATCATAAGTTGAGATAATAGTTTCTGCATGACACACTACATAATATATTACGCATTTATATCTCAGATTTATCATGAATTGTTATAACTTGCAATTGAGTGATGAATTCTTAACAGCGGTGGTTACTTTATATACCTTTTCTAATCATTTTGATATATAATATCAGCTCAATTGATAATAAAATACCTATAGCTAAAGGCCGCGTCCACGAAAGTTTGTTATTTGCATCGTAAATTGCAAAATTTGCGTTTGGTATAGGCCTATTATTGCATAGTGTTTGCCTACTTGTTAAAAAAATTAGTAAATATACTAATTTTTCTAGTAAATTTTTACTAATTTTTCGTTGAATTTTACTTTCTACAAGAGTATTTTATTGAAATCACGTGACTTGCTTAGCTGAGCCAATCAGGGTGCTTGTTTGTTAATAGTTTACTAATGAATAGTAATTTCACTGATCAGTTAGTAATTAATATAACAGAAAAATAGTAAAAAGATTAGTATACTTGGAAAAAGTAAAAAAATCTAAGATCCTCTAATTTACGAGTAACTATTCTTTCCAATAAACGAATTTATCTACCTACGCATGCGATATAGTCACGAAGCAAATTTAAATACTCCTTTAGAATTTCATCTAAATTTTGCTCTGGGTATTAATTTGAATTAATTTTATTCTAAAATTATTTTGGTTCATCACCCAAAAATTCTGATTGTTTTGCTATTGCATTAGACAAGATAAGATATTGTTTTTATATATTATTTTCCGGAAGTAAGCGGACCAATTTGTCCAAAA